TCTTTACATATTTCAGTTAATTGTTGACTCTCAAGAATATCTTGACGTGATTCAACAATACATAATGCAACAGATAATAATATTGAACGAAATTTTTCAACAGCTTCTTGAAATTTTCCATTTGTTGTTAAACGATAAGCGATTTGAGGACGTCCAACTGCTGGATAAAATAGTTTTGGTGAATGGACTTCACACCTTAATAATTAAAATAAAAATTTTAAAATATTTATTAAATGAACAAATACAAACCAATTTTTTAATGAAATATGCATATAATGATGATAATGATGGAAGTGCTGTAAAAGCTGTACGTGAACGTGAATATATTTGAATAAAAACATACAAGATCAGGTGATAATTCAATTTCAGTATCACCTCAACCTTCATCTTGATTATTATTAAGATCATCGTCATCACTTTCAATTGGTACTTCATCATCAGCCCAATCTCAATCACTTGTTGCTGCTTCATTAATATGAAGATTTAAAGCAAGTTTTGCTGTTATGTTGGATATTAAATTTGCTTTGGTTCTGGTTGACTTATTGAACATGGTGATAAAATTAATTTAGCATTTAGATTTATATCAGGTATCTAAAATAAATATTTTATTTTGAATTACTAAATTTAACACGAGATTAATATTGATTAAATGTATGTCTATCTTATTATTTCATATCTAACATATCAGTTAAACAAAGAACAAGTAATAATAACTTTGTTAAAATCTCAGTCTACCGGCTTATTCCTTTTTTGAAACAGAATATGAAGTCTTCTTATTTTGTTTTTAATCTACATTCTAATGAATATCAATGAGAGAAAATAAACTAAACTAGCTATGACATGGTGATTATTTGAAATGTCTTTAAAAAAAACATGTTACCATTCAATGTCGTAATAAACTTCGAGAATCATCATAAACTTCTTTATACAACAGTACAGAAAACTCTTTAGATAAATGATGTGCTGGACATAATTAAAGATTCTTAAAAATTATTTTATGTCTCAAATAACCTAGTATATTTATATGAAAACCTATAACTAGTTTTCAAGACTTTCAATCGAAGATATTAGAAAACAAAAAATAAAACTTTCTAAATTGCTTTAATTTTTTTAAAAACCCTCTCGGACGAAGTATTAACATGAGAGTATTTTTTTTATCCATAATAAATTACTTTTTCATCAAATGATTCTATTGTATAAAAAAGACATAACATAATTCCATCTCATAGAGAAAAAATATAAAATATTACTTTGATTGCATTGTCTAAGAAATTTCATCCGTTCTTCAACATCCCGTAATAAGATTGCAATTTGAAATTGTCTACTAACATTTTATCGTACTTCAGCTAAACAAAAAATAAATAAAATAAAATAAAAACAACAAGAAATTTTTCAAACCAATTTTCATCATTTTCCAAGAAATAGATAATTGAAACTATTTAAAAGAAACCACAAATAATTTACATCAATATTTCTATATTCAAGTGCTAAGCCAAATCTTGTTTTTGCATCATTTGTTTTCAAGATGAAGATTTTTGAAAAGAAATTTGTAAATTTTATTTCATCGTATTTTCTATTACTTTAACTTTTGTTATACAAATATATAAATCAAGTATATGAATAATTCCATGATCACCATTCATAAGTGCATACTTAATATGATTTGATAATGTATGATGAAAAACACCTGACTCATCCTAATAATGATAAGTAATTCGTATCATTTGACCACATTGTATATTTAACTTTGCATTTTCTTACACTTGCTATTGAACATTTTTGTTAAGCATCATATATACTAATATGATCATTTTCATGAATTAATGAAGACCACTATCAGCATAAAAAATTTCATTACAATTGGCTAATTCAATTTTGTTTTATGTTGTATTAAAATCTATAAAAAAGATTTAAAACAACCCGTATGGCATTTAAATCAGATGAACGACGACCTTCACATACTAGAAAAGAATATACATTAAAAGTATCGAACAATTTAGATAAAATATCTTTCTCTTTTTGAAATGTTAGACCTTTTTAAAATCCTGACTTTCAATTCGAATAAATCATATCATCCAGAGTTTTATATTGAATTTCTTGATTCATAGCATCTTTCGAACGTGGACCATTCACAGTATTTTCAAATAAAATAAAACAATTAATTTATTTTAAAAAATTTACCCCAGTAATTATATAAGAGGAACAGCTTTTGATGTTCTAATTTCCAATCGTCGTGAATATTTGATTATCATGACCTAGCAAACAAACGTTTTATTTTACTTTTAATTTTTGAAAATGAAAAGAATCTTACCAGCAGCAAATAAATTTAATGTTTAATGAACTGTCAAAATTCAATATCAATCATTTTTCAATGATTTCATTTAAATTGAATTAAAATAAAATAAACTGTTTGTTGATATCCCAAAGTTGATCTATCGAACAGATCAAAAAAGAAGTGAATGATATGAACATACTTGAATATTGTGCGCTCGTCTGTTTCGTGCTCACAACTGAATAAGGAAGTGAGAGAAGAATGAAAAAATAATATAGGTCACGACAACATCTTTTTTTCTTTTCTTCTCTCGTCCGTAAGTCGTCATTGTTCAGGTTATCATTGATGATCAATGATAATATGACATAATCCATGTGTATATCAATGTATGTGTGTATGCAGATGATAGCTTAATTACTATCATCTTTTCATCACTCTCTGAAGAAAAAAAAAAGTAAAATATCGATTTTTAATATATAAATATGAATGATTTTCTATGTAAAATCATTCAATTTATTGAATCAAATATTAATCTTTTCTTTTTATATTTTAGAATGATTTCGACGATACAAAATTATACAATTCAAATCAATACAACACAATAAAAAAATGAGGGTATCAGTTTTTATTTTTCTTTATTGGATCATACAGAGGGTGGTAAGTCCTCTTGTGATCTTTTATATTCATGTTTTTCTTTTCCTGTTAAAGACGTCATCATTCAACATCAATGGGTGAGTTAATTTTTTATCTTTTTCTTTTCTTCGTTGAGATGAGAATAGTTAGGGTGAGTGAGGTACGTTGAGTTTAGCGTTTCGCCTTATAAGAAGGACTTCCGGGTAGTCCCTAAAAGCTCGGCCAGGAACTGTCTTGGTGTCCGTGGCACACGATCGGACCCCCAGACTCACTGACATATGACATCGGATGAGTGCATGTGGATGATGTGGGTCTTCCTGCGCGTGCATGTGCTTTACGTTCGCCACGGCTCCATCAGGATGGTTCCTGGTTGCGCGCGTGCGAGAATAGAATAGCTATGAAATCATTTTTTCATTCAATCACGATTTATTTGAAAGAGAAAGAGAACAAAAAAAAACTGAAATTCATCGTCGTATTGAGTTTCATATGATATTAAATTTTTGTACTCGATTATTCCAGTGATCGACGACATAAAGATTGCCATGTCCATCGAATGATAAACCAAAGGAACCAGCGAGTTGATTCGACTGTGCTCCTCGACCGTTTCCACCCACAATGATATTTCCTTGTGTGGCTCCTTTTGGCCAACGCATGATTCGATGATTACCGTTATCAGCCACATAGACAGTTCCCAATTGATCGACAACGATTCCTTCAGGCCAATGCAATTGTGTGAGACTATTTCCTTGTCCTTGACCACCGGCCACGACAATGCCTTGTTTTGAACCTTCTTCCCATTTCATTACACGATGATTTTCATAATCAGACACATAAACTGAATGATCTCGATCGACAAATACGTATTGGGGATAAGAGAGTTGATCGAGACGATTTTCTTTTCCATTGCCACCTGCAACTACTGTTCCTTGAGTGTCACCAATTTTATATCGTCTCACTTCCTGTTTTCTATTGTCAACAACATAGAGAGAACGATTGTCGTCCATTGTCAAACCCACGCAAGCGATATTTGAAATAATTGTTTCTCCACTAGTACCATTTCGACGAGGCCATCGAACTACTCTTTGATTGCTAACATAGGAGATGATGAGACTATCGCTCTCTTTGTCGATAATCACATCTACTGGACTGCTTAACTGATGAGTTCCATTCCCTTCTTCATTTCCACCAGCAACTACTTTTCCATTCGTTGCACCATATTTCCATTCCACAATACGATAATTACCAGGATCAGCGACATAAATCGTTTGATCATCATCGACGTACAAACCGAATGGACCATTGAGTTGATTGGTTTCACTGCCTTCTCCATTTCCTCCAGCAACAGTGATACCATTCTGTGCCCATTTAGCATTCGGATGAATATCAATGGAACTTGCACGCATTGGTACTGAAATGAAACGAAAGTAAGGAGTAGAAACAAACATCGATTTCATTGAAATGAATCATTCTCATTTCTTTTAAACAATATTGAACTGCTCTAAATTACAAAAGCTTTTTACTTATGAACTTGATTAGAATCTGATTTTCTCAATGTTGAAAACAAACATTGTTGATTTTTCAAGTATTTTGGATAAGAATCCTTAGTTTTACTAAAACTAACTAAAATTTAACTGGTAATATGAAAAATTGCGATGAACTTGGATTTTGTCGTGAATGAAATTTTCTTTTCTATCGAATTTTTTCAACATATTCACTGATTTCGTTAAACCCCCGGACACATTAGAAGACCTCCCACCCCTGTAGTAGAGATGACCCTCCCTTGAATCAACGAAGCGAAGGATAGATGAGAAGACCCACCCATCTGCTCTGACGATCCCCTTAGAAGCAGGCGAGCAGGTCCTCTAATCTATCCTTTGGGTTGTTGATTCAAGAGAGGGTCATCTCGACTATAGGGGTGGGGGTCTTCTAATGTGTCGGGAGGTTTAGTTCGATTTTGAAATATATTTAATAATCATTTCATTTTTTATTGTTTAGATTTTACAATAAAATGAGTAATAATAGAATTTGAACGTAAGGAAAAACAATTTTGTTATCAGTTGATAGTAAAGGGTGTATGATTTATGTTCATCACACAGTGCTGAGTGAAATGAGACAAAATAAATTTGCAGATTTTATATGAATTCGTTAAAAACATCTTGCTAGATAATAAGGATAGTTAATTATACTTAACTACCATCCATAAGACGTTTTTTGACTGATTCATATAAAAAAATTACAAATTTTTTGTGTAAATATTTTTCTTTCTTATTCCATTTACGAATGTGTGACAAACATAAATCATACATCATTCGAAAGTATTTTATGTCATGAATTTTGCATCATACTTATTATTGAGTAATTTATTCCTGAATCTCAAACAAACAAGTAGTTTGTAGAAAGGCTAATCGAAGTGCTAAATAAGATAAGTTTAGATAAAAAAAATACGTAAGTTCAAATTTTAGTAGGTAAGAAGAACTCAAAAACAAATCTTTCCCAAGTTCAAGAATATTTGAAGAATCTGTCACGTTCATTATTCTACATTGTAGGACAAACAATAATCTATATACGAATCAATCAAATCTTTTATTTTGAATTCATTTCTATTGTATTACAAATTTTCAACTTAATAGGGTATGGAACACCTTTTTTAAACAATAGCAGTTTCGATCACGGATCGATTTCAAACTTTCTACAATTAAATATTTTCGCTTCTTTACAAGACAATACGAATCTTCTATTGAAACCTTGATCTAAAATCTTTGCAAGTTAGTGTTTTGTAGGTTATTCAATAGGTATAAATTTTTGGGAATTCTCACAAAAAAGCAATGATCGTAAAAGATTTCATCATGATTTTAGCTATTCTCAATAGCAATAAGTGTGAAGATTTCTTCTTCAAATTGTTATTGTATCGCATTCTGAACTGGTTAAATCTTAGAAGAAAGTTTTTTTTTTGTTTGTCTAGAATTTTCTAAAGATGTATATTGATACTGATTTGAGCTTTAGACTAGAAACAATTCTTCTATGATTATATCTTGTATGGACAGTTACAGAATCGATGAAGTTAATAAAAAATGTTATGCAGTTTTATAAACTCCCTAAAAATAATTTAAATAATTTCATCCTTTTGAATTTATCTATGAAGAATCTAGCTATAATTGAGATGTTGATTAAATTTAATACTATTTAATCAATTTTCATTTTTATTACATGTAATGTCATGTATTTTTAATATGTTTAATGTCTCAGTGCAATTGGAAGAAAGTACATTTTAGTATTATTTCTTTTCTTCCATCGACAAAAAACAAATACATGTAAAACGGTATGCGACCTTTAATTATGTGTCAAACAACTCGAAGATGAGAGTCAGAATCAAAACAATACTTTCTGCTTTTTAAATCAAAGAGATTGTGAGACATAAAATTCGAGTAGATAATTTTATTTTCTACTTATCGATGATGGCACAGAGCTATATGAAATGCTTATTAATACTATAGATTTATTTCAATTAAATCAAACTTCTCAAATATCTCTTATACACATGGAAATAATCAGTCTGACCGGCTACCTTGCTTCGTTTTTTTTGCACATAAACTTCAGTCTTATTTTAGAACAAGTACAGTCAACATTTGCTCTATATTTGATATTATATAAAATCCTATTCATTATTTTTCATATTTCTATATTAATAATATAAATAACAATTAGTTTTAATTTTAATTTTTCTATGTTGGTAATATACATAACAGTTAGTTTTATTGCTTTTATTTTCTATATCAATAATACAAGAATCTTAATTTTCATTTCTTGTTTTTCTAAATCGGTAGTTTAGAAAATTTTATTTATTATTTTTGATTTTTTATATTGATAATATAGAAAATCTTATTTTTGAATTCTTATTGATTTTAATTGATAATATAAATATCAGTTAGTTTTAATTCTTATTTTTCTATATTATCGATATAGAAAAATACAAAATAAAAACTAAGATTTTCTATGTCAACAATATACAAAAAATAGAGAATAAAACAAATTGTTATCTTTGTTACCAATGTAGAAAAATAAAAAATAAAAAGTAAGATTTTCTATGTTATCAATATAGAAAATAACAAATAAATAGGATTTACTATTTTATCACTACAGAAAAATGAGGAATACAAGTAACCGTTTTGTACTCTATTAATATAGAAAGGTGAAAAATAAAAATAACCGTTTTCTACACTATTAGTATAGAAAAAGAAGAAAAAAACTGACGTAAACTATTCGAGTCTTTTTTCCAGGTACTGTTTTTCATCGGAAAGCTGATGGGATCAACTATTCTCGAATAAGAGAAAGAACAGAACAGATCATACACGATCAGATGCTAACAGGCAAGATCGACATTATGCACTGTGTATGTTTCTTTTTTTGGATCTTATATTATCTGTTAAGATCTGACAAGAAGGATCCAGTCTGTCCAAATCAGTGTCTTAATCATTGAGTCTTCTAAGATTATTTTCTGACACCGCACAATCAAAATCTGAGAACATCTTTAAAAAAATGAGCATATAAGATATTGTCCGATATTGTAACAAGATCATAGAAAAAACCTTATAGGAATCAGACCTCATTGGATCTTGCAGGATCTAACATCTGTTTTTTTCGGGATGGGTGTGAGTGTGGCTATAGATGAATCATTTACCCACCCATCATGGTAAGAATTTGAACATATAATTTCACCAATATAAAATCGAAAAATCTAATAAAAAGTTGCTTTTCCATAAAGATCATAAAAAAGAGATCAGTTGTTAATTATGAATTGATTTGTAAATTCGCCAATAATAGTAAAACTGTATTCTGACTTTAGATAGCCTATTATCCAAAAATATGCA